CTGGAAAATTCCTTCCATGTTGCTCGTTCACATTCCTGAGAGGAACAGACTGATCAGGCCAGTTTGTGATTTTGAGCCAGATTACCTGGAACTGGTGAGCTATGGGGCAGTTGTGGCCACAATGGAGTTGTGTCATGTGGAGCCAAATGAGAACACGGAAGAAGCAGGAAGACAGCAGTACGGGTGAGTGAGAACGGTTCCATGGCCAGCTTGACAATCAGCCTGCTCCATGTGCCCCTACCTCTCCCCATATGGCCTGGTGCAAACACACTACAGAGAGCTTAGCAGCGGTCATTTGAAGGTCACATGAATGTTCCTATCTCCAGGGATAACAACTCTTAGAAATTTTCAAAGATTTGTAGTAAAGGCATAAAAATAAAAATAAAAAGTCTCCTCTTTTTATTAAGTCAGAAAGTAAAAGAAACTGTGATCAGAAGAAGCAACAAGTGATGACAGTGGGTAATCTGAGAGACAAGAGAAAATAAAGGGACTCTCTGGAGAAGTGGTTTGAGACAGAATATGCCGCCAGGGAGCTCTTTCAATACTGTGCCCGAGACCCACAGCTGCCCCCTGTTCTACCCTCCTCTGCTCTGTCACAAGCTGGACCTGGGTTAGGTCCCATAGATCAATACTATAGGTACCTTCTTGCTTACCTAGGCTAGACTGGGAAATTTGCCACCATTCATGACCTTGTTCCTGTATAAGAATGCCTCCCCAGGGGTGAACACCGTACTGACTCACAAATGGACTTGTGGAGCATACTTGCTGCTGAAACTGGGAGATGCCTACAAACAGATACCTGGGACTCTCATGTGGGTTGAGAGAGAATCAACAACTCTCAGGAGGAAGCTTCTGCTCCCCTTTTCCACCACCTACTTTGTTCCCAGGAAGAAAAGCTCACAGGGTTTAGAAAGGTTTAAAAAGGGGCTGTGAGCAGGAGCTAATAGATATTTTCATGGTTTCCTATGAGGGATTAAAAATAATTCCAAATATGAGGGCTAAAGTGATAAAAGAGTGGGAGCTGCTCTCTGGGGAGGGAAAAGGCAGCCATATCTTTGCCCTCCTGCCTCTTCCTAGTTCCTAGGAGGCCAGAGGCAACTACCCCCCCCCCCTTACTCCTTCCCTGTGACCACGCCCCCAAGAGGCTAGTTATGTCAGAAGGGCAGGTGGGAGGGTGCTGGCTAGTAAAGAAAATGCTAGGTAACTTTAGGCCACAAGAGCTCAAATTTAAATCTGATCAGAAACACCTGGTGAGGGGGTAAAGATTCCAGACCCTCCCCAGGAATTTGGTCAGCAGGTCTGGAGTATGTGCCCAGGAACTTGTACTTTTAAACTTGGACCTTGATTCTGGTGCAGTTAGTTCATGTATCATATTTGAGAAAGAAAGCTGGGCCCTGGGGAAGAATCTGGTTTACCTGCAAAAATAAAGTGTGTGTGTGTGTGTGTGTGTGTGTGTGTGTGTGTGTGTGTATACACGCACTTGCCCTGCTTTAGTTTTGGGCTCCAGGAGTCTCTTAACCAAGCAAAAGGATTTGCTCATACCTGGCTCAGAAGAGCTCAACATTTGAATTTGGGCCAAAGCCAAGCAAGTAATAGCTCCCACTAGTGCGGCCACCGACCTCTGAGCCAGCACTTCCTGGGTAGAACATTGGTTCTCAACGTTACTGCACATTAGAAGCCCCTGGGGAGCTTTAAAAATACTGATGCCTGCGCCCCCCTTCCAGAGAGTCTGGTTTCATTGGATTGGGTACGGCCTGGACATTGAGGGTTTTTTAAAAGCTCCTTGGGTATTTCTAACGTGCAGCTCAAGACGAGAACCACTGTGGTAGGGAAAATGACTTTTGTTTTCCTAGAGCCCTGGCTAAAAACAATCTTATATTACCTCTTTAACATGATGGACACCATAGAAGAATTCTTGATATTTGCATTTCTTCAAGGCAAAACAAACAAACAAAAAAATCAACAATATATAAGAGGTAGTATTTGGAATAGTGGTTACCTGAGAACATAGTCAAGGATAGCGCAAATATTCTTAGTATGACTTCCTTTGTCCTTCAGCAAGAAAGAAAGGCATAGTATGGTATAAGCCATAATTCTCTGAAGTATTTCAGAGATAAAGTCACTTACAACACCTGTAAGCTTTAAAAAGCTTTCCCTAAAGAAACGGAAGTGTTTATGCTTTCTTTCTCTTTTTCCTGAGACCTAGCTGATCAGACTCATGGTTGATGTAGATATATGTTGATGTAAGAATATCTATTGTTCGAAATAGGTGAATGATTTTAACGGCAAATGTTATCAGTGGACTATAGCTTTAGAACAAATGGCCATCTAAATTCTGATCACTAGAGGAACAATGACTTTATTAAATTTTATTCTATTCTGATAAACTAACACTAGCAGCTAGTTTAACAATCTGGTGTGTTTGGATTTTGTGAAAATTAAACTTATCTCTTGTCTAAATACAGTGCATCTTTATATTTAAGGATGATGGCATTTATCTTAGAAATAGGCTCCACAGGGGGATGTCTGAGCTAGGTTCAATTTTGGCTGAAAGGTTTATGAGATTGTGAGCACCTGCTCAAATTGAGTTGTAAATTGGGGCTTCTGGGAAAGAGAAATCTATGGAAATTTGGGGAGGTTCACATACTCTCTGAAACTAATTTTAAATGTATATACTTAGTTCTGTTTTTCCCAGAAGGCCCATAGCTTTTATTAGATTTTCAAAGGGTCGATAACCACAAAAGGTTAGGACTCAGCACTTCATATACTTAAATTGAGCACCCTTCACTCTGATCCCCTTCAATGCAGTGTGCTATGGAAAACAGGATGTAGACAAGGAAAAATAATATTACATGTTGCTCTTCAGCTCTGCTCTTCTCTGGGCCAGGATTACAGATGTTTCTGTGAGGTACTGACAGCCATTATGTCTTAGCTCAAGATGATTTGCTATAAATAAGCACTGGAGGGACCAACAGTAGCAGGGAACCTAAGTCTTATTTCTTTTGCTTAGCTTCCATGCTATTCCAGGAATAGTGGTCAGTGTTGATTAGCCCAGAAAAACTGATAGTGGATGCAGTTTTCTGATTATAGACAGAAAGTAAATTTGATATTTTCCTAGTTGATTCCTGTTCCTGCATCTAATTAGATAGTGTCAGCTTGAGGGGGTCATTGTCAAAGGCTGCAAATACAGTAAAGGTAGGCCTCCCTTTAATTGCACTCAACATTGAAATTGCGGCTTTTCTCAAATGGTAGAGTGATGACTTGATAAAAAATTACAGTAGAAAAAATTTCCTCAAAATATAGCCAACGTGCAAACACTAACTCTAATTCCTTTATGGGAATATAAGAGAATAAAGTTTTCTTCTAGGTGAGTGACATTTAGCCTCATTATGTGGAGTAATGCAATTTTTGTTAAAACAATAATTTTTAAATAAAATTTATATAATATTATATATTCTCACCTTTTCAAAACATTAGTGTAGGGCGGATATGTTGGTAAATTTTCCCCTAGTGTGGGAAATATAATATGTGAATTTAATTTTTATTAATATGGCTAATTTCAAAATATATTACCAGCATACAGTAATTTTCATGGGGATTTAAGGAGTGCTAAATACTTTTGTATGTATAGATATAAAGCTAAAGTATCATGTTTTTTGTAAGCTTAAAGTAATAACAATAGTTTTAGCTTTCGGGAAAGTTAGTTTGCATTTGTCTAAATAAGAAGAAAAAGAAATTTTATTTAAGATTGAGAAAATAGTTTTCTTTCATTTGAATTATTGGACTCAATGCAAGGTAATCCTTTTCATGTCAGATATGGAAATACCTACCTGTTTAAAATTGTCACTGCTGTCATTTTTAAATTTGAGTGACCACCTAAAATTTAGTGTGTATTTGCTTCTGGTTTTCTAACCAGTTGTCTGATCCAAGCCCTTTTCAAAGAGAAGTGGCAATGTCTCAACCTTCTTTAAAGAAGAGTCCAGCCATTTAAACTTAAAAATGACAATAAATTGAGCTACCGGTGGCTTATGTTCTTGAACAACAACAAAGGCCACTAAAGATTTCTCTCTAAAGCATGAGAAACTAATCAGAGCAAACATCATTAAATGCTAATGATTTCTCCAAAATGTTTCAACCTTTAAATGCCAATAACTTTCTCCATTATTGATATATGACTGTGGCAGAAAAAATAAAAACAAATCAATTCAAGTTATCTATTTGCAAATTATAAATGAACATCACTGATTGTAAAACTCATAAAAATTGAATATTAATTCTTGAAGAATTCTTCTTGAGGGTTCCATTGTGAGTGATATTTATCCTCATATGAACAAGTGTAGATTTTTAAAAAATTATCACAAGAGCATTTTAAACCACATTAATTTTTTTTAGTAGTTTCATACTTCCGTGTTTCCCCGAAAATAAGACATCCTCCGAAAATAAGACCTACTTACAAGTTTCCTTCTGAGTGAAATATAAATAAAACCCCCCTAGGCTAAACATGAGAGATTTGGTCCACTGATTCTGAAAGAAACGGAGTCACAAGAAATTCACCAGGAAATTCAAGAATTGGATTGTTATGATGATGTTCCAGAAGATGATGACATGATTGTCATTGAATAAATGAGTAAATTCTTGATACTGTAGGATTCACAGTTTGTCTGGTTTGTGTTGACAACTACCGTACTACTGTACAGTATACAGGTAATAAATTTCCTTTATTTTCATGTTACGATAAATGTGTACCATATTCTTCTTTATGGAAAAATAAGACATCCCCTGAAAATAAGACCTAGCACATCTTTGGGAGCAAAAATTAATATAAGACACTGTTTTATTTTCGGGGAAACAGGATATTACCATTTCAAGATCTTCGATAGTGAGATGTCCAGATAAAAATCCCCCTTGTGGTTTTGGATTATAGCCAATAGAGGGTACACTCTTTTAGCTTACCAAGTTTAGAAAGAAATTCTGAACTTTGAATATTTGAAAAAAACAACAACAATCCATATTTTTTATTTAATTCCAATCCATGTTTTTTATTTACTGAAAATTGCTATCATGCTTTCTCTCACCCCCAGTCCTGGCGGATGTTCTTTGAGGGGATGCTACCCTGACCCATTCTTTGAAACAACATATATAATCTAGCAAGTCACATGTCAACCAGCCCTTAGGTTGGAGCAAGCCCTGGCAAATATTTTTCAAACCACCTGTCTCCATCCTTTCCTTCTGAGGTAGAACTACTGTGAGTGTGATGAAAAAAACACTGTATCCTAAAAGGGCCTGACTGCTCTCAGATTCTGTGAAGGGAATGGGTGGAGAGGATTAGTACAGCCTTCAGGTATCAACTATGGGGAACTAAAGCCTCTGATGACCTTCTTCAGTCAGCTTCCTGATGTTAGAGTCTGGCCTCAGCCAGCCTCTGGTACTTGGAAGCTGGCCTTGCTAGTGATAGCCACAGAGGGCCGTGAGGCTCAGCTGGTCATCACTGGGTGAGGAAGTGTCAGGGTCGCTGTATATCTGAGTCAGGGCTAAACTCAGGATTTCTTTCTTCTCTTTGTAAAACCGTAGTTCTTGTCCCGCTTTCCTGGCTTCCTCCAACTCCCTCAGAGCCATTCGTAGCTCTTGAGACAGGATTCCTGGTGACTCCCGCTCCTTCATGATCCAGTCCAGGGCCATGTGGCTGCGCATCTTTTCATCCAGTGAATACTGGGAGTAGTAGGAGATGACTTCCTGGGGGCCAGAGACAAGGTCCTGAGTGTGAGTACAGAGCACCAAAGGCACCTGAGTGCGTGGCCTCCCGACGCCTCTTTTCCTCTGCCTCCACCCCTCCTCCTGATCCACGAAGGTATTACCAGCCACCAGGCCTCTTTGATGTTCACAAACTATAGCCAAGTCCCATGCCATACTTCTGACAGAAAACGAAGGACTAAGCTGGTGCAGCAAAGCAAAGTTACTCCAGGTTAAGTCAAAACACTACCACCAGGAAGACTCAATGCTATTCACAAAATAGAGGTCTGATCTCGGTAGAAAGTGTGCTGTTGGCATAAGGAAGATGACGGTCTAAATCGCTCACAGAAACGACGGTAATAACTTTTAAAACGTATTATGGAATGTAGGCATTATCATTATTGATATCCTAATGGCACCTTCATGGACATGGTTTCTTACGCCTGTAAACAACTAAAAGTTAGTCACTAACTGCCAGTTCGCGTGTGAAAAATTTGCCAGTGCATTGTAACATCGTGTGCAGGTTCGATGGAGACACTTTAAGAAGATCTCGTGGAGTGAATGCATTGCTTATTTTTATTTTCAGGAACATATGGTATTTATTTATGACCTTAACAAATTAAAAACAATCATGGAAAAGTGTTTATAACGAACCCCGGATATTTCAAAGGCCTTTTGTAAAATCAAAGGAAAAGGAAAAATAACCAAAGCCATTGTCAGCTACTCATTTCTTTTCCATCCTTGACATTTTGAAAGCCAGACTTTTTACGCAAAGAACAACTAAAAGCTCCTGGGGCCACAGTGCATGGCAATGCTTACATCCACCTCATCGTGCTGACGAGTGGAGGCTTTGTTCCTCCTGCAAGTTCCTGTTAGCAAACTCTTAAAAATAAACTCCATCTTTCAAAGTCTAACGGTGGGTAAAGGAAGGATAAATCTTGGAGGATAGTGAGTGAAAACCATTAAGTACACAGGAAGGAGTTGGCATTTGCCTTTAAAAAAAAGGGGGGGAGGGGGAGGGTGCTTCTCATAGGTAGCAAAGAAATAGTGAGACCCTGTCTCTAAAGATAAAGAAGAAATTTCCAGACCAAAAACGTTGGGGCGGTTGGATGCCAGCTTGCCCACTTTTACAAGCATTTCTGTTGCCCGTGGGGGACTTTCGGTGGCTGTGAGAAAAGTCCTGCTATCGTCAACTTTAGCTCCCCTCACTGCGGAGGTCCCCACGGGGTGCACGCTCAGGTTTCCTTCCGCACTGCAGAGCTGAGGAGGGCGCACACTCTAACAGGAGGGCAGGTACATGGAGTGAATTCCACAATTTGCCTTAGAAGTCAAGTCTGTCTCAATGATCCCTTCCTTTGGCGTCATTCAGTACAAATATCTAAGTCAGTCCTATGCCTAGTCAGTGTTCTCAGTATGCATATTTGGTCAGTGCCTGACTCAACTGGACTGTTATATATGTACACACTAGAGGCCTGGCACATAAAATTTATGTGCGGGTATAGTCTCTAGGCCTGGCCTGCGACCAGGGCCATCTCCCCCAGCTTCCCACAGCCAGCCCCAACCCCTGCTGCCACCTACCCCCGGTTTCACATTTGCCATCCGGCGATCAGAGCCTGCCGGCCGGGGAAATAGACCAAAAGGTGGTCAGTGAGCCTCACAGTGACTGGTTGAGTGGTCATTCTGCCATTAGGGTCAATTTGCATATTACCCTTTTATTATATAGGATAGTTATGTGTACTTATTCATGTGTCCTCAATAAACAAAGCACCAAGTTTACTCAATAAACAAAGCACCAAGTTTAACAGGAAGAAGTCCAAATAAAGGAAACCTCCTAGAGACATCATGACCATCTGATCTGTCTGTACAGCACGAGGCCATCCTGGGTGGTAAAACCTCACCTGTCGGGAACACTTCGTTTCGCGAAGGGCTTTTAGGCTCCCATTCCAGTGCAGTAGTTGGAAAATGGTCATCAGCTCCTGCAAAACCCAAACACCCGTCATTAGTCTCAAAGCAGAAACGTGAAAAAAGTGCCTCAGTGAGAGCTGAGCAGGGCGTGACTCTGACCACCAACTCTGCCAGGGAAACAGGACACAAAAGAGAGTCAGGACCGTCTGAGGCTTTCAAACACCGGAGTCCAGGCTCCTGGGGCAATCTTCCTTCCCTTTCCTGCGACATCCATATTTGCACAACAAAATGGCTTAATAATATATAAATATCTTTCAACATTAAAAACTATCTAAATTAGGCCAGCGCACCTGAGAATGATTTATAGGCATCGCGATTTTTGAAATTGCCTGAGACTGGAAATATCTCAAATGTTCATTTTTAAATGAACGGCTGAATCAAGTATTGAAGGGCAGCAGAATATGCCACCCAAAATATGAATTTAGGACATGACACCACAAAGTATGCCACTTTGGTACATTGATTATTTTGAGCTGAAGGCACTTAAAAAACAGCAAACATAGAGAGAGGGTCTCTCTGAGCTCCTCTTACCTGTCTAAGACACATCCTCCAAAAGGCACCTGGCTGTCATAAATCCCCTCCCAGGGCGTTGCACTAACCTGGGAAGGAGGACTCATCACAGAAGAGGAAACTGGAAGTCCACACCACACCCACACAGGCTTTGTCACATTTATTCTTCTAAGTGCCTGTTTATCCTTCTTTAAAGGTACCCACTTTCCCTAAGAAGCCTACATCCCCTTCCTCTTTCCCTATTAGGATGGTATTTAATCCTGAATCCTAAAAGGATGTATTCATTTTTCCCAGGTCTTTTTCATGTATACACGGGGCATACATGTCAATAAACGTGTTTTTTCTTTTGTTAATCTGTATTTTATTACAGGAGTCTTAGCTAAGAACTCAGAAGTGTTCAGGAAAAATTGCTTTTCCTCCCCTACAACACATCCACACCACGGAATGCGGTGCAGTCATAAAGAAAGGATGGGGAGCTTCTCTAGGTTCTAATGTGAAGAATCTCGTGATGTATTATGTTAAAATAAAATAGAAGCAAAGTGCACAACCAGTATACTGTGTGCTACTAGTTGATAAAAATAGAATAGGAGATCTCCATAAATACTTGCTTGTAAATGCCTAGAAGAGTTCTGACAAGATACTGAAGAATCAGGTAACATTAGTTGCCCCCTAGGAGAGAACTGGGATGCCTGGGGACAGGAGTGAGAGGGAGAACTTCCTCTGACACCCTTTTGCACCTTTTGAATTTTGAATCATGTGACAACATTACATATTAAAGAAAAAATTAAATTAAAAAAATCAGGACTAAAAAAAATAAATAGAAAACATATAAAAGGCAAACTATAAATACTGTAAAAATACTCCCAAACGTATAAATTCAGTCAAGAAAATTCCTTAAAACATGAATACTACAGTGGAACTGACATTAAAATACACCCACCATGGTGAGGACCTGGGTTGGGAGGTGGGGAAGGCTGGATAGGATCGATGCTTTTAGCAATAAAGATTAAAAAATTACACCCACAGTTTCCAATGGCCAGTGCTGAGCACAGCATTGCACTTTCTATGAGCTTCATCCTTGCCCTGCACGGTATCAAGGGCAAGCTAAAAGGAATGATCGTGCTGATGATGTTATTTCTCTAATGTGATTAGAGCTGGCAGTCGTCCACTGAAGCTATCTGTATTTCTTTTCTTTTTGGTCAGAGACATTTATTGTGGATTAAAACCATCAGGAAATAACAACATAATCAATGAACTTCCTGGTCATAAAAACCAGTTATGAAAACCTTACATTTAGACAGATGTCCAACTGCCCATTCAAAAAAGCTGACTTTCACTGTCTTTACCTCATAATAAAGAAGGTTTCATTATGAAAATCAGGAGGCACAAAGTCATTCTGGGATTTCACACATTATAGGATTATTGGGTAAATTTTAAAGCTATAAGGCAAGCAGAAGAGCAAATAGCACTATTATTATGTTAGAAATTGCCATTAGACTGTAACATTTTTCAGTTTGGGATCCAGTTTGGGATTTTGTTCTTCTGCACAGTAAGCATCCACCAGAGACCTCAGTAAAAGCAAACTAGCAGAATCACTCCTGCCCCAAACACAGAGCCCACCGCCTGCCCAGGGCCCTGGATCCCTTGCCAAAGAGGCTGCTCCTCTCATGCCTGCCCGCCTCCGCCTCTCCCTGCCCCCCTCCAGATGTTCACTCTGTCACATCACCATGCTAATTTGGAAAAGTGAGAGTGGTCTGTTCTATAACCACAACCAAGTGTTGCCTAACCTCGCTCACCACTGTGCTTTTTATCGAAGAAACCCAAGCGACTGAGGAAGATGGATTTGTGCAGCTCTTCCCAACTGGCCTTCAAATCTACTCACTGATAGTTCACAGCCACACAGACGAACAGGAACACTCCGTGCACTGATATGAAACAGTCTCTGTGGTGTTACAGGAGGGCTAATATTTACTAATAAGACGTTTTGTTTTATGTTTTAACCTAACTCTCCACTTAAATTTTATATTCTATTGTTTATGTATATCTTTTCTTGAGAGAGAGAGCGAGAAACATCTATTTGTTGTCACTTACTTATGCACTCAATGGTTGATTCTAGTATGTGTCCTGACCAGGGATCAAACCCACAACCTTGGTGTAACCAAAGCTATTCGGCCAGGTATATATTTATTTTTTAAAAAAAATAAAATAAATGCCACCTGCGCTCCTCACCCCCAGTCTTCATGTAAAGTTGATAATCCAGAAGATACGCCAAGTTTATTCTGTGGCTTCCACTGGCCCTGCTGGCACTGTCCTTACTCTCTGCAGCACAGTTAGCGAAATAACCTATTGCTAACAGGGATCTTATTCCATGTTCTGACAACTGTTGCCTTGATAACACATTCTTCCTCCAAGGCCTATAAGGCTCTTGTTTTTATCTATTCACAAACCCCCTTTTCCAATGAATTCTTGCCATTCCACATGGCAATCCCCCTAAGACTTTCAAACCCACAAATTCTGCTGCAAACAGAACCAGAGATTTTCTCACGTACCTTGGCAACCTACATCTCTCAAAACCCTCAGGCTTGAACTGTTTCTGCCTGTAGGACGAGGGTCATCCTCCTCAACCGCTCTGGTTTACCTAAATGTCTGATCCATCACCAAGCATTTTTTTTTTCTCTTCAAGTAACACAAGCTCCTCTTCCTCAAGTGTTGCTCTTGTTTCTAAAGTCCTTCAGCGGAGATGACCTTCTTTCTGCCTTCTCCCACTATGTTCCCATCTAAGTCTCGCCCTCCTCTTAGACATATGAATCTTGCTATCATTATGCACATAGTCCCAATTCTTTATTTCCCCTCATAAGACCCCTCATTATCTTCAGATCCTCCCGAAGCTGCATGAGCCCTAGGCTCAACCCAGGAAATCCTTGTGTGCCTCCCATTGATTCATTCCATCGAAAATCCTGGCATTACTGCACACTGGCTAAGAGAGGGCGGCTCCCTCCTATCACCAGGATTCCTTGCTGCCTGGTCTTCCAGACTTGTTTTCTACCTGTCAAAAGTCTGTCCCTTTAAAGGAAGCATGTTCAATGAACTTTCTGTCCTGTTCCTCAAAGGATTTTTCCTAGGGTGGTTATCTGTTCTGTAGACTGATCTAGACTCCTGGGGAGTCTGGGCATCCTGAGAGAAGAACAAGCAGCTGGCCTAAAGGTAGGGTTGGGATTAGGGTTAGGTGAATGAAGCAAGTTTAAGGTGAGTCATGCAAGTTCAGGGTCTTTTATTTAAAATTCTGTCATTACTTAAAATTTTGATATTTTGTTTGTCATGAATATTTGCACGTCTTGACTTTATGCAACGTTGTGTTATACTACTACTCGTCTTGATTACTGAGTTTTTTTACACTCCTTTAAATGCCTGAAATGAGTGCCTAACTCTTCTCTCACCTAGTCTCACCCTTCTCATGGGTCTGTCTCATGGTCAAAGCCAGCTTTGTAAGCTTGTGATCTGTGCAGTCACCTAGGACCTTGAGCTTGGTGTAATGACCCACTGCCTTGAAATTCTTAGCAGTTTTTTAACAAAAGGCCCTGCATTTTCATTTTGCCATGAGTCCCATAAATTATGTAGTTAGTCCTGATCAGCAAAGTAAAATTAAAATAAAGTGGGGGGAAAATCAAGCCTTGTGTGTGTGTGTTTTTTCTCTTCAAGAAAAATTTACAGCTTTCTTGGTTCATTTTGTCATTCATTCCATTTTAACCAACTACAACTGGGCTCTGTCCTCACAGTGCTTCCTGATGGAAACACTGGCCCTTCAGCGGGGAGGGGGGAGGGGGAGGGGGGGAATGCACACTGTTTCTCTCTGGAACTACGTCTGGGAGACTGGCTTGGCTCTGCGATTCATCAGAAATAAGAAAAACAAACACTATAAATGGAGAACTTGAAAAACAGGTGGGCACCATCTCCCCACCCAAGAGAATGGATTTAAAAGGAAATTTGTTTATGAGATGAGGTTTTAAAAAGCAACCTGGAGAATTTAGCAAAGATGTAAATAAACAACTCGTCCTGGGATTGCATTAGGCTGCAGAATAAATATATTAACCGGCGTCAGTCAAAGTCTGCCTCGAACCTGACCTTGACAAGACCCAGTGGCTAGTGCTGTTACCATCCCTCCCCCACACACCAGGCAGTTTTCTCTAAGGCAAGGCTACCTCAACACAGGCATCCAGGCTTCCCTCCCGAGTGAAGGTAAGCAGAAGCCTATCAGGTTTCCCCTGTGCCCTGCCTCCCTGACAGCGCCCCGGGAAAGCCTGCGGGCAGTCAGGAGACACCAGCCTTGTTTTTATTCGGGGCAGTCATCTGTGGGTAAGCACACATCTATTACCCACCAGGGGTACTGACTGCTGGGTCGGCTGTGGTCAGTTCCCATCATGTGCAGAAACAAGACAATGCATTTAAGCCTGACCATCAAGGAGTGTGCAGGCCCTGCAGGCGATGGAGCTGGTGGGAAAGAAAGGGATGTCTGTGCTCCAGGCCCTCCTCCTGGGTTGCCAGCATCCCTACCGGGGAGAGGGATTTTGGATTTTCCCTGTCCTCACATCTTCCTCTTCCTCCCTCTGTACCCCATCCTGTCTCCAGCCTCCCCTCTGTGAATTTATGAAGCATTTCCAGCACGATTGCAATTATTTCACATAGTTAAATGTCTTACTACATAGACCACACAAGAAACACAACCTATACCCAGGCAATTGAAGTATTACTGAAAGGTGGTTAGTGTAGCCTTTCATAGTACTTGGATGGAATTTTAATGATTGAAAAAGAAAATCTTGCCTCCCATCTTTGGCAGACTACCTCAATGGCACTCAAAAATCATTCTTGGCACTGAGGGCATGCAACCTGGCTCCTCACCGTACCCAGCCTCCTGCCCTCCCTGCCGCTCCCAGCCCACACCAGGATCAAGAAGCCCACATCCTCTCTGCCTGCTTCTTCCCTTGATACTCCCACACGTGGACGTTGACTCAGACACAGACATTTCCAGTGACTCAAGATTACAGGCTGAACTAATACCAACCACTGACCCAGAATCGCCTCCGTCCCTAGACCTTACTGGTGGTACAGAGTGGACCACTGATGATTACTTAGAGAACACACAGGTTTGGGATTTGTCTATGACGTGGAATCAAACACCTCCAGCTCTGTGGAGAAGCCACTGAGGAGGCCACAGTGATGTCACTGGTGATTATTTGGAAGAGCCCATCACACCAGAGGAGACCAGCACCTCCACAGAAAGTGACAAGGTCACCTCAACGCTCGTTTAAAATGAGGCAGATTCTCCATTGGCTGTGGCCTTGGCTCTGCTAACCACAACTGTCTGAGAAGATTCTGAGCTTCTGCACAAGCCTGCTATTCCATTACAGAAGAGTGAATAATTGTACAAGACAAGTGAGCTATAGGGTGTACCCAGCGGTACAGCGCAGGGAACTGTCCACAGGCAGAGGTGGTGCATTCCTTAAACGTATCCCATTTAATATGGGGTCAATAAATGTTCGTTTAAAATGGGGAAAAAATCATTCTTGATTTTCTGAAAATAGATATTAAATCATATACAAGCTACTTAGTACTGAGGCAGGCAACATTCATTCTATATATTTTGGGTCTGAGTTAAGAAGGAAGAAACTTTTTAAAATGAGGTTCTTTGCTGAAACCTGTTTGGCTCAGTGGATAGAGCGTCGGCCTGCGGACTGAGGGGTCCAGGGTTCGATTCCAGTCCGGGGCATGTGCCTCAGTGGAGGGTGTGCAGGAGGCAGCTGACCGATGAGTCTCTCTCATCTATGTTTCTGACTCTTTATCCCCCTCTCTTCCTCTCTGTAAAAAATCAATAAAATATATTTTTTTAAAATAAAAATGAGGTTCTTTGAGAAAGTCACTATGCTAGACACTTGATAAATGTCATATTATGTAAGTCCCACAAAAATCCCATACAATGGGCATTATAATTCTTATTTTACATATGGAAAGCTGAACCTCACAATAGTTCAGTTCACAGGCGGAAAGTGGTAGAGCCAGCTTCACATACGAGTCTTTAAAAGTTTGTGTTCTCTCTCCTGTGTTATGATCCTCCCTTTATTATTTTTTTCTGTTTGACTTTAGATTGTTACTGGGGGTAAGGGTAGTACCCTTTACAGTCCCACCTTTTTATTCTACAGCAAGGATCCTGAAATGTTCATGCAGGGAAGCTCCCTGTCCTCATCTGAAACCTTTAGTTTATATAAAATTGTCAAGAGGATCTACCCAGGAGCCTCAGGCATAAAGAAGTCCTTCAGAAAGTTATATAATAAGGTTTGTTAATCTTCATTGGGCATTTCAACATGCCAGGAACTGTTCAGGACTCTTTCTACATGGTTCCATTTAATCTTCATAATGGTACTATGAGGAAATGCCACTGCTATTATGCTCGCTGATTTATATGCAAGTGAGGAAGCAGATTCAGAGGTGAGAAGACCAGCCAGGCTGAAAGGGACCAGCCCCCTCCAAAGCCTGGGCTCAGAACCAATGAGCTTATGTGTACCTTTGTCTGCTCCACAGGGTAGTCTTTAAAGATACCTGGTCTCTTCCAAACCAAGGAAAGCAACATCAAAGGTCCATGAGCCCATGGCCCTTTAAGGAGAAAACTGGATGAATGAGATTTTCCTAGGACAACTTGAAGAAAGAGTATTTTTGCTTCATCAAACTAGGGACTGATGAGGAATATTGTTTATTATTTTTTAAATGTGCAGGAAGGACACATCCACTTGGGCAGTGACTATATTATTGTAGTTTAGAAAAGAGCTGAAAGGTACCAAAGAAGGTATTTGAAAGTTAGTGCCTGCAGGCTGACCTGTAACACTGCTTTAAATTATTTCATGATGAGCATTTTTGTCCATTAAACTTTATATCTTTGAGTGCTTCTTAGGATCTAATCTAAAAGAAAAAGAAAAAAAAAAAAAAAAGAAAAGGAAAGAAAGAAAGAAAGAAATACTGGGGGCAAAAACTCTTCATTATGACATTGCATATTGATTCCCACTAGCTATGCATGTATGTAGATATTTAACTGCATTCAAGTTTAGTTTTTTAGAGGGCAAACTCTTCATGTCTAACAAGTGAATTTTCACCTGTCCAGCCCAATATAGGATAATAGTTAAGGGTGTGAGCTCAGAAATCAGATGGCCTGGGTGTGAACCTAGGCTTTGCCATGTGCTAAGCTCTATGGTACACTTCCTTCAGTGATAATGTGAAGAGATAGTACATACTTATATGCAGATTTTGAAGGTTAAATTATGGCGATATTTGTAAAATGTTTAGCACAGTGCCAGACATAATAAGTATCCAACAGTGTTAGCTATAGTCCTTATTGTTATTGTTATTGACATATTATTTAATTTGGAAATAATAGGTAATGTAGTTCCTCAACTCTATTATGGCTGTCTGCAGTGGATGAAAAGGATTATAGCTTGCTAATTTTTTTATTTAATGATAGGAGGTGTCAGATTCCTTTAATAAAAATACTAGAACTGAGGGCAACATTGTTTAATATACATTACAGGCATCTGCATCTATGACTTCTGAAAATTAAGAACCAATGGTCACAACCAACACTTCAAACTGCTTATTTTGGTTGAAGGGGGGACATTGTGTTGAAAAGTTGGTAAAATGATATAGTTGTAAATTGGTTGTATTCCCTATTTCTTAGATGTTTTAGTTCCCTTTAAGAAAGCAAAAATTGTGCCTTGTTTGCATGCTTATTTTAACCCACTGAGGCGTGTCTAAGATGGAGCTACCATGCTAAGTTCTAAGAGGATTAAATGAAAATGATCAAAACAAATTTAAAAAGTAGACCTGAGAGACAGAGGGTGTTCATGATAAGAGTGGCATTCTCCCAGGCTTTTAGATTGTGTAGCAAAATAAATAAGTGACAGGAAGTCAGGCACCTGAAATTCTAGCATGGTCTTCCCCATATTGGACTCCAGCATGTAGTGGTAGGCGCCGATGCTGGTGCTGGGGTCGTCAGCGTCGTCCAAGGTGCCCTGGGGAAGGAAGCAGAAAAGGAAAGAATTATGGAAGCTCCCTCCTCTCATTTGGGTGATCACAAATTAATACCATGGCCCTACAGTGATCCTTCTACTGGCCTAACACTTCAGGTATGTATTCCACAACCAAGTCTCCCGTTGATTTGGCATAAAATCCTTAATCTCTCCACGATTCAGAAGGAAGAGGATTTTGTAATCAATTTAAATCTGGCATTCCATTAGATTGTTGACAGGTTATATCCTCACTAAAATAATAATGATTCCAAAACAGAAATTCCTGTGCCTTCACACAGGATTTTGTTGATAGCGGCATTAATATGAGTGGTTGCCCACGTAGGCTGCCTTAGGGTATTATTGACATCTTAAAATGATGACTTTGTTCTGGTTCCAATGATAACCAGGCAAGATTATGTAACTGACAGGGAAAGAATTCTTCAGTTGTATGGACCATTCATATTTTACTGCCATGGTTCTTTAATGGGAGCTTTTCACAATATGCTGGTGTTCAGCCTGGAGACATGGATCTTGGTTTATATATTTTTTACTTCCGGATCACTTAATCTTCAGCAATCAAAGTGGGTGGGTGATGTGTAGAAATGAAATTCTCCTTCATTGTGGTTAGGGGGAGTAGCAATGAAAAAGCTAACCTAAGGTCCGGGGCCTGTCCTTCAATGTCCCCTGGTCTTGGATTCCTGAGAAAGTGGGCAATGACTTTGTGAGGCTGAACATACGACTGCCAACATCAGATAGCAGCAAATTTATAACGTTTGAATGCAATAACATTAACACTGCTGCTGAAATATTTATGTTGGCTTTTTAAATATCCCAGAGGAAATCCATCCAGAAGCCTGCAAATCTTATATATTTTCTTTCCTTAGAAATTTCCATGAAAAAAATGATAAATTACATTTACACTTGAGAGCCCCTCCCTGCTCCTGAGTAAATTCCACACATAGAAATCAAGCATCGTTTTCCTAACTTCTCTTCCTCAGAGGCACTGGAAATGTGCAGAGCAGAGAAACAAAGGCTTCCTTTCATCCTCAGAGCAGATATGGAACAGAGCTCCTGAGGTCTCCAAAGCCAGGTCAGCCGCTCTCTGCCCCTCCTCCTCTCTCCTCTGTGTGATAAAAGTGTTTATGAGGGGAAAGAAGGGAGAAAAAAAGATAACTGCTAGTGTGATAATGTCTCCTTTATCATTAATAGCTTTTCCAGAATGACCGAACCTTTACAGTCAGAGTGAGGGAATCGGAGAGTGAAAATCTCAGGTCGGGTTTATCCATGCTAAAGACAAGCCAGGAGTTGACGAGCTCCTTTGGCAATGCCAACTTCCTGGCCTCGGAGGACGTACAGGGCGACAAGTGCCACAGCGGCGACCCAAGGCTTCCTCCGTGGCTGATGGTTTGGAGGCATCAAGGATCAGGAGCTCCACATGATTCATGGGGTAAACTGCCTACACCAGGATCGCTGAGAAAACATCCTCGCTAAATTTCTAAGACAAAGTGTTTTGCTCATAAGCACTTTGTATTTAGTTATTACAAACATTTTCAAAGCCCTCTGAAAGAAGTAATTGATTAAGCATGACAATTCTAATAGTGAACAAATATTGGGCATACAACTCTCCCCATATCTAAGCAGTCAGCGTTTCCATAACACAGATTGCAGCATCCCATGGGGGTTGAAAGGATTGGCACTTTGAAGAACTTCACATCATTTGTAAGATTAGTTAAGTTTAGGGGGAAATGAGCTAGTTTATCTCTAGAGAAAAGCAGTATATAATTGTATGTGGCCTCAGGCTCTCAGACAAATCAATGCTCTTCAAACGGCAAACATTCAAATAAAGAAATCTGATTTAAGGCTTGGTTAATTGTGTTCCAAGAAGATTAAAAAATATTACTGAGATGAAGAATAGGGAGCCAATTCCAATTTTGTGATTTCCAGTCCAAGGGTTCTTTTTGCTGAAAATTAATGATTTAATGGATAAAAATTAAATATGCCCAATTCTTTAAAAATATGCTCACTTTCGCATCCCCCACGATTCAAAGGCCTCGGTATTCTCAGAGCAGCCAGTTCCTCCCTTCCCTGGGTACTCACGCTGGTGGAGGCCACTGCTTCCTGCACGCTCTCCATAATGAACTCCTTGGTGATCCTTCGAGAGGGCAGCTCGTTGAACAGGGAGTTGATCAGGGCCACTTTGGCTGCATCCCGCCTGGCCTCGGCTCTGCTTAAGCAGCACTAGAGGAAGGGAGGAGAAGGGGAGTCATGGAAGGATTCAGCATGTCACCATGTTGTCCCTGCCTCAGTGTGTCTCTAGACATTTCTATTCATCTATTTACTGTCTGTACCTCTTCCTTCACACCCATTGCTAATCCCCTGAAGATCACACAGATTTTCTCTCAGTCCTAGATTCTATGTAAATGTCTGGGTTGGTCTTCAAATGCTGCTTTTGGTCTTATTTCATAGTCACTGAATGGCTACTACGCACCAGAGGCTTTGCATACTTTATTAAATAATCACAAAAGTCATAATGGCTACTTTTATGTGCCAGGTAATTATATTCATTATAAGGGCCTTTCTCGAACCTTTATTTTGGAGGGGGAAAAATGTAAGGAAAGAAGGAAACTGGGAAATAATTAAGGACAGAGGTTCTGGGGTCAGGCTGTTTGGCTCCAGGCACTTGCTAGCTGAAAGAAAGACCTTGGGAAGTTAGTCCCTCGGTGACTCAAGTTCTGCCATCTGTCAATGGGAATAATAGCAGTCCCTCTGGAATAGGATAGCCTCAATTAGTTAATATAGGTAAAGCAGTGAGACGACCTTACACATGGTAACACTCTATGGGCACATTCCAGTCTTATACTTTTTACCTCTAGGTTAGGACAAAGGGGCTGCTGTCAAAATCTACTGTTTTTGCTTTTCCAGCACTTGTCTTTCCACCTTCCCTCTGACAACCGTTCCTTGATTTTCTTGAGGGCCACCCTTTCCAAGTTGGTTTCCATCCACACAGTTTGGGTCAACATTTGGCCTTCCTGAAGTTAGGGGCCACAGGCAGCCCATGATCAGTAACTCAAAAAAAAAATCATTTCTCCCAAATGTAATATTGCTCTCCTTCCCAGCCTGGCTTTCCTGTGGCTCCACAAGTCTGCTCAATGTATCCTGATTTTTTCCTGTTCTGTCTCTTTCCTTTTCAACTACAACTCTTATTCCAGTTCTGGCTCAGCGTGGACCTTGGGAGTCCCAAGAGAGAGATGGAAGTCCTATGAAAACAGCACTGTCCCCAGAGCCCACCCCTGTTGGAGGACCCCAGAGTGTGGTGGCCTCTCTCCCACAGCTCCTGTGAACTGTCCAAGGTCCTAGACCACATGTGTCAAACACAAGGCCCGCGGGCCAAATCCGTCCCACCAGGCCTTGCAATGTGGCCCGCACCGCGCTGTCATCACTGCACTCCGCTGCGTTTCCATCACAATGACAGTTTATGACTGTTCAGTAAACCATTCGGCCCGTGATTTAGGCTGGATTTTAGATTTTGGCCCCTTCTCTGATTGAGTTCGACACCCCTATCCTAGACCCTACGCCAAGACTTAGAGGGAAATAAGCCAGAAAGAAAAGCTCAGGCCTAGGTCCTGGTCAACAGGGTAACTGGGCACCACTGGCTCTGCCACTCAGTGACTGTGAGACCTGGAATGCCAGAACTTTGGGGCTTATTTCCTAACTGAATAAATGGGGATAGTGGCCTCTTTGATTTTAAGGCTCCTGATACCTAAAATGCACGATTCTTAGCATCAGTAGTGCTTGGTGACTGATGTGAAAGAACAGAGAAAGTACCAAAGGTCCCAGGTCATGTTGCATTTTCACAGCCTCAGTGGCTTGGTAGCACCCCTAGGACAAGGCCAAGCCCCTGTGATTTGCTTTCAGCACATTGACCATCCTTGCACTGACCCAGGGACACTCAGAACTCATAAGTGTGTGTCATCTAGAGGTCCAGACTCTCCTCCCCATCTCCCCAAATCCAGACTAGCCTCCTGAGGTCAGGCCCTGCCCCCTGATTTCCTCCTAATGTGTCAGGACCCTAACAAAACAGAATGATTAAAAACAACACAAAGAGGTTTCCAATATCACCTCTACATAAAGAATTAAGCTGAAGGTCTAAAATGTATGTGAAAAAACAGTTAGGGTTTTTCTCCAAAGAAGACTTTGGGGTAGCTTGAGGCAGTAAGCAAAGCCATTCAAGGTTTAGACCTCCCCCAAGGTGTAGGCCACCTGTATTAAACCATGAGGCATGGCTTTGCAGTATGGACTTGACTGGGAATTTATGAGATGTTGAGTTCTAAGTCGGCAGTATCTCACTGAAGCCTGGGTGCCGCCTCTTTTAGGAAGTCTTCCCTGACCACTCCGAAGGTGGGCTGGGAGGACTGCTGTCCATGGGAGGCACTCACACATGGTTACATAATTGTCTGCTAGTACCTGCCCCCCAGACTCCAGGCTGCGAGCACCCTAAGGGCAGAGTCTGTGGCTTAGTCATCTGTAAGTCTCTGGACCTACAGCACAGTTTATTGAATGAATAACTAAATGCTGCCTAGGAAATTTAAACACAAGTCACTAATGCACCAATAAAATGCTCAAGAAATCCTCTTAAAGAGGAGAATTAAAGATACATATTTACTATTTTTAAAAAGTCCCTTTTAAATATATCCTGTGTAGAGTGGCCAGGCCCGGAGCAGCCGGGTCTTGTGCAGCCAGGCCCAGAGCAGTGGCTGCCAGGCTGGGAGAGGCCAGGCCCGAAGCAGCCGGGTCTGGTGCAGCCAGGCCCGGAGCAGCAGCTGCCAGGCTGGGAGCGGCCAGGCCTGGAGCAACGGCTGCCAGGCTGGGAGCAGTCAGGCCCAGAGCAGCAGCAGCCAAGTCCAGAGCAACTAGGTTTGGAGCGGCAGTGACCAGACCCGGAGCAACTGGTTGTGGAACAAACCAGAGCAACAGAGGCCAGGCCCGGAGCAGCCAGGCCCAGAACAGCTTGCTCCTCGCCTGCCCCTGCCCCACGGCTGCCTCTCAGACATGGCTGGAAACTTTTGTGGGAACTTGAGGGTCTGCTGAATCAAGTGATGAAGGCTTAGATCTGGATGTGTTGAGTTAGTATAGTGCTGGGGTGTTGATCTGTGAGTGCCTTGGGTGGGGCCTGGATGAGGTTGGTTGACTTATTTGGAAATGTCTTTTGTGGGAAGTGTATCATTGGGCATGTGGAGGTATTATTGATATGAGAAAATGCTAAGTAAATGATTTACTATCTGAAAAGGGATTTACTATCGGGGAAAGGAAGGAAGAGACTGAACATAACTGTGCACCTATGGATGAGGACAATGGGGGATGGGGAGGGGGCAGAGGGTGGGGTGGGAACCTGGTGGAGGGGGGAAGAAATGAGGAACCTTTGTAATAATATGAACAATAAAGATTGATTTAAAAAATAAATAAATAAATAAATAAATAAATAAATAAATAAATATACCCTGTGTACTATGCATAATCCAGTAATGTAAAAATATATTAATAGGTGAATTTCAGAGGGATAATTATTGGACATTAAGTTCAGACACTTTTTGAGATTACCATTTTTGTCTGAGTACAAGATACGTCTATTACTCTTCCGAAAGTCACTTCCTCATTAAAAAGCAGAGCAAGTTTCTGCAAACAGTACCTGACATCTATAGGAGCAGCTCATTTTAATAGGAATTTGCTTTCCAAAATCTATAATATTGCTGTTGGGGTTTCAGAACTTAAGATTCAGACCTGGGCACTCATAACAAACTTTATATAACTACCTAAATGATAGCAATTGAAACCGTCCTTCCTAGAGAGAGACCCAGTAAACACTATTTAGATCACATGTGTCAAACACAAGGCCCGCGGGCCAAATCCGTCCCGCCAGGCCTTGCAATGTGGCCCGCACCGCGCTGTCATCACTGCACTCCGCTGCGTTTCCATCACAATGACAGTTTATGACTGTTCAGTAAACCATTCGGCCCACGATTTAGGCTGGATTTTAGATTTTGGCCCCTTCTCTGATTGAGTTCGACACCCCTAATTTAGATAAAAGAAGCTATCTACCGTATTTTTCGGACCATAAGACGCACTTTTTCCCCCCCAGAAGTAGGGGGAAAAAGTCCCTGCGTCTTATGGTCCAAATATAGCCTACACATATACTTTAAAAAAAAAGTTTTTTTACTTGCCCAGCTCTGTGTGGTCTCTGTGTGCTTGCCCGGCTCTAAAATGGTTCTAAATGCTGCTGTTTACTTTACAGGGTTGATTACATGTGTTTATGACTGTGATGTTGGGTTTTAATGCACATAAAATATTTTAGGACACTACTTGTTTCAGAATCTTTTTTTCTTCATTTCCCTTCTTTAAAAACTGGTGTGTCTTATGGTCTGGTGCGTCTTATGGTCCGAAAAATACGGTATATTTTAAATAAGTCCCACTAAGTACCAGATCAAAGGCACCACATACACTTACAACCAAATGGCACTGCTTCTGAGATCAAAGTGCTGCGGGGCTGAGGGAGGGAAGGAGCCTTTACCCAGAAAGCATGGGAAGGGACTAGGAGACCTCACCAACAGCAGGATTTTAAAGTGGACACATGTCTTTACTTATGTCATTGTTGCAATGTACAGAATCTTTGGCTGAAATGGAGGAGAAAGTGTACCGATTAATAATAAGCACATAAAGCAAGTTCTGAGCCATCAAAGGGCTTCTCCTACAATTGCTCTTTGCATTTCTGAAAGACAAGTACTTCAAAATGTTTATAATGTTAACCAGCCGCTTGCTTCCAAGTTTTGGAGCTACACATCCAAGTCAGTCGAGGCCGCATATTTTCTTTAGGGATCTTTCAACGGGGCCTCTCAAACCTGCAGGACCTGTGCGTGGCCAGGACATGGAGCCAAAAGCAATCTGCTTGGCAAATGGAAATCATGAGTGTGGATTCTGCTGTGAGAACAGGCACACTTAGCGTTACCATCAAACAGCGGGAAGCGCTGCAAGAAAATAAAATATAGTAAGTGACAGAACGTTTTATTGATGTGTCCAAACCGGTCATCAAAGACATCGGCTGGAGAGCGAGCGGAGCATGGGGTTCTTTTCAAAGCAACTTCCTGCTGGAATCAGACTTCCCAGATCGTATGGTTGATTCTGCTTTTCAGCCAGAGCCCAATCATAAATACAGATTTGTAAACCGTGCCTTATCCGCTAACCAT